TAAATTTTTATAAAACTACAACCAGCCAGGTGTAGTTTTGTCGAGTGCCGGGCTCTGAAGCCAGTTCGACACCATGGCCACACAGTGACATTTCAACAAGACTTATTGTTCTGTGCGTCGCCAATTGTTTACTGATAAGCCATATGAGACTCTAGAATGGAGTCTGAGTTGAGAGATGTCGAAAACCAGATTGTTTCACAAGTAGCCTTGTTAAAAGCTAATTTCAAGTTAGTTTCAAGCTAAAGAGTTGATAGGTTGATAGCCAATAGGTTCGGAGATTGCATTTGGTCTAATGCGTTCCGTCTCTTGTGTTCTTCACACAGACTGTTTACCTGCAATCAACCAGAACCTTTTCAAACTTGATGACAGGGCAATATTACTCAGACTAAAATTGGAAGCCTGATCCCAACTAATACCAGCATCTTGTCCCGTTGCCTACCGTATAATCTGTTTATAGAGATTATAAAGTCTTAGTTTTAATACACACACCAATAAGTGCCCCTTTTGCAACTATTTGTTGACCCTATGTAATTCTGTCTGAAAATTGCAACGAGGGACAATATGGTGAATGCATAAATGTTCTTGTTAGAGAATTGCAGGACGGCGACAAAAATGATAAAATGCACCGCTTAATGTTGCTGTTTGTAGGAAAGATGACACTTAATAGAGTGGCGAAGTCCCTCCCCTTCCGGTGGACCTCCATTGGACCTTATTTCAATGGAGAGAGAAAGATTATCTTTCGATCCCGTTTGAATTGTGCCACGAATTACACATATGATGTTTGTCAATTTAAAAGATAATTTTGCAAGTCAAAAAAATAAAAATGTGTCGTAAAACTGTGAAGTAACACATTTGTTTGTGTGAAACGCTCAATGAACTACATCTCTGGTCTCGCAGAACAACACACGTCACCAAGATGGCCGTCACTACTGTCTTGTCAACAAAACGATTGACTACCCTCACTATCACCACAATGAAACACGTCCTGAAGAAAGTCATGCAAAGCTGCCTGCCTGCCTTCCTTTGATTCTCTCTGAACTGCCTGGTCGTTTTAATGTTCAATGTCAACCATTTGTGCAGATAGCATGAAGTAGAGAAGATCGTCGATGCAAGCGTTAGCGTTAGCATTTCTCCCCCAGGCTTAAATTGTATATTATAGAATGATCACACCGGTGACAGTATTATTCAAAGGGTTCACGAAATATGACTACTACTCTTACTGTTTAACATGTTGGGTTACTTAATGTTACTTCATGTTAAGGCTAATAAAAATGACAAGGCTGTAATGCTAACTAACGTGCTAGCTACTAGCTAGGTAGCTAACTTGATCAAGCCACTCCTGGTCCTTTCATCAGACGGGAAGCAAAAGAACGAGCAAGACCCATTGCTGGTATGATAACAACCTGGTACTAAGCACACAGGCATCTTGTTAAAGTTATCTTATCTTAGCCAGCGCCATATAGATAGATTATATCTATATGGCGCTGATTTTAGCTATCTCTTAGTGGAGGAAAACAATTGTGACATCACTTACGCGACTCTGGGATTTGTAGTCTTTCTAGTTGCGTATTTTTCATAGTCTTATATTTCAACAGTTTTACGACAAACTGTGACTTTTTTGACATGGAAATGATTTTTTAAGATTGACAAACATCATATGTGTAATTCATGGCACAATTCAAACGGGATCGAAAGATAAGTTTTCTCTCTCCATTGACTTCAATACATTATTTTTCCGAAATAAGGTCCCATGGGGCGGAAGTAGAAGGGCATGACTTCGCCACTCTATATTTCCTCCACTCTATACAAAAACCTTTTGCAAACAAAAATATATATACAAATATATTTTATGTGCAATCAATATAATGAACAAACAGCATAAAAGTAACCCCATGCCTGAAGATTTGTATTACTTTGATCTTGGTAGTGGTAATTATCTTTTGTCAGAATAAACACGGTATAACAATATCAACATATTGTTTTCACTGTGTTTATTGTCCTGAAGACGTATGTCGTGCCCTCCTGGGACAATAAAGTTCCATACTGCTCTATTGGGAATGATTACTTGGACTCCAGTGAAATTATCTTTACTGCTTACCCCAAGGCCGTAACCATGGAGTCAACATTGGGGGGGACCATAAATTAAATCAAAATTTGAATACTAATTTCCTGCCATTCTAAAGGAAAATATATAAAAATTCACCAACACATGGGATACTTTAAAACCTGTCAAACCCCATGCCCCCGCCCGTGGGGGCAAAAAACAACAATATTCACGAAACTGTGTCTCAGAACTACAAGTTATTTACCGAAAGAAGCTAAACCGGAGGGTTCATTAACATTACCATTACGAAATAAAATAATATAGTTTAGGGCTAACTAGAAAAAGATACCAGAACTGATGGAGGGCAAATGAAAACATGACTGACCTGCTTGGAGCATCAACGCTAACTGAAGCTGGACTCGGACGTGCGACAGCGAAATACACCCCCCGGGTACAAAATAAATGTATGCATAAACAAACAAAGGCGGAACCAATTTACATACAGTATGAAAAGAATATATCATTTTGGTGAAGAAAATAAAGATTTTCAAGTATACAAATAGCCAAAATAAAAAAGTCATAGAATAGCAATTTAATTTTTTTTTTTTTTATATCAGTTAGGCTATATATTATTGGGGGGGGACATTTTGAGCGTATCTGAATATTAGGAGGGATGTCCCCCCCCCAATGTATATGGTGAATTCGGCCCTGGCTTACCCCTCGTTGCCCTCTGAGCAGTAATGCATGATATTTTACTGTTGTCAGACTCTTAAAATAGTTTGACCTCAAAACAGCCGTCTATATAAGTTTGGTTAGAGTAAAAATCGGGACATTGTAAAATAATTTTATCCTACGACCAGAGGTTTAACCTCTGGAAATCCTGTACATACAATTCCACCATTAACACCATCTCTTTAAAGAGTATAGTCAGAGGCTTGTAATGACTTTGCATAATGACTTACATTCTCTTTTTTCATTGGGTCTGCTTTCTAAAAGATCTCTGCATTGTACAGAGGGAGAGCTAGTCTCTTTTATCTCCAGAAAAAAACCCTTGTGGCTACAGTTTGATCAATTAAACTCCTGAAAGCCCCCCCCCATCCTTTCATTCATCTGCCTGAGAGGAATATAAAGTTATCAGTCTTCCCGAGCGATATGAGGACGGAAATAAGTAGTTTGTCTATAAAAATGTCCAGGTACTTTATCAGCGTCCCAGAAGGCCCTGAGGCCCTGACACTGTTCAATGTGGCTCTGCTGTACTCATGCGCTCACCCTTTGCTCCCTCCCTCTCTGCCTGTCTACTCCATCTCTGCCTGAGGCCCCACTCCTCGCTGGTTGGGGTGCATGCCGCCGGCCCTGTACCTCCAGTGGGATTGACTAGGGCCCGAGCCCCAAGTGAGGTTATCGATTTCAATCAGCGGCTTGGGAGATTGGAGCTGAAGGATGCTGTAGACTTTAAACGGTGGTTAGATGCACTCCTTGTTGTTTGAGGGGGAAATGCTGCAGGAGGAGGCACTTTGCTTTTGAAGAGAAGTCAGATAAACATACAAACAGAATTAAATGGAGTGAGAGATCTCAATCTTCCAGTTTGGAGTTCCAATGTGTGTTAGTGGGTGTTTTTGGGAGTGAAATTGCAGAATTTGTTCCAAGAAGTACCGAGATTACAGGCAATAGATTCCATTTTAACAATGATGTAAGGCTGCAACTAGCAATTGTATTCATTATTAATTATGTTAAGATTACTTTCTCAATTAATTTTGATTATTTTTTGGGGGTTTCTTTTTCTCATACGGTTGTGCCCGGTTTCTGTTGTGATTGGTCATCAGCTTGGAAATATGTCTGTAAAGTATGAGTGTTACATAGCAATGTCATTATTTTATGGAAGTAAACAAAGGAGTCCATTGGAGTCAGTGGGAGAGAAACTCCCTCTGACGTAAACTTTTAGCCTTTGACGACCATTTACATGCACACAAACCTATAAAACACACTACAAGAAAGGGAAAACCAAAAACTAGCATAATAGGGTGACTTGAAATATCATGGAGACTGAATTGGCAGATTTGAAAAACTGGAACATCAAAATGTTAGCACTTTGCTTCAAACGTTAATTAACAATCCAACAAAGATCATAAGAGAAGTTGCCCATGAATTACAGGCAATAGATTCAATGTTAACAATGATGTAGGGTTGCAGCTAACAATTGCTTACATTATTTATTAATCCGTTGATTATCTTCATAATTATCAATGTATTTTTTGGTGTGAAAATGTCAGAAATAAGTAAAAAATGTCCAACACTATTTACAGAAGCTCGAGTTTCCCGCCAACATTCCAAAACCCTAAAATCTTTAGTTGAACATCTTGAGGACTCACACAAAAACCGCACAATTATGAAGATGAAACATCAAAAATGTTTAGCACTTTCACTTTGACTTAAACTCCTGTCAAAAAAAGATGGAATGGTTGTCCATGACATTTTTGCCAAATAACTACTAAGAAATTCAGCCTTTTGTTGTTTAGGAGCTATGTGTGTATTTGGAAAGAAACTTACTAACAAGTTATAAAATCACTTTTCTAATAACTTTATGTATAAACTCACTTGTATATAAATATACAAAGATATTGACCATATTCATGGATCAGCAGTAAATGTTAGTTGCATAATCTGTGGGAAGGAGTGGGAGTGTAAGCAATTAATGTTCTTCAATAATGCATTCATCCTATGGTCTGAGTGTTTTATTTTCTTCTTGTCAAGTAGTCACTGAGAAGAGAGGTGACAACTTGTCATTCTATCACAGTTCACAGGAAAGCACAGGCATATAGAAAAGCCTGATAAAGTTCCTGTTTTGCTTAAAGAGGGAAGTTAGTTCACACAATGAGAGCGCCGCTGCCTTTCTGCTCTCAGAAGCATTTGCATCAAGGCCAGGAGATTAAACGTGTGGGTTGGGAACTGGAGAGAGTGCGTTGTCTAGCTCGGGGCCCCCCCGATGCCAGAGTTCTAGCTTTCATCGCACTGGGTGAAAGATTTCTCCTGGACGCTTCACTCCGGCTACAGGTGGGTGGTGCGCATGATGTAGGTGGCAGCCGCTGTGGATTTCGTGCAAGAGTACAGAGGAGGTGGCTGTGGGCAAATTGCTTCACAATTGCCAACGCAGAGATGCTGAATCCCACACTCTTTAAACTCATGTGTGTAGTTAGATGGGATTTGGAGTGTTGTGTTAAGGTTTAAAATCGTAGGTGTTTGTGTTTTTTTAATGTGGATATTAATAATGTCAGTTTTTAAACTTTATTTTAGGGAGAGAGCATCCAGTGGGATACTGGAAAGTTTTGTTTATAAGTTTAGAACTGAAAAATGTAAAAGAGCAAATATTTGTTTGTCTTTTCGGTCTGGGTCCAGGTTATCAAATGTGATGCTTTTCTTAATCATTTATGATACATACACTTATTATATTTGTGTTTTTTAGTGTAGATAGGACAACATTTGCTATATGAATATGTCATGTTGGGCATTTTTCACAATTTCTACTTTTAAAAATAATGAATGGAAAATGGAATAGTCATGAGTTTCACCCTTACCGTCATGCTTTCTTTATACTATGCTTATTTGCATCAGTGTTAGTATAGGCTTTCAATGAATGGTGCAGGAATGAGCTCAAACATTTCGGTTACAAAAAGGTTGAGTTGTTCCACAACATAAAATACCCAGTAAATATGTCATTAAATACCCAAATCGTACATTTCTGAATCTTCTATATGTCATTTAAACACAGCAGTTGCTAACAAGTCACCTAATGCAACTACTAAACGTCATCAACCCGAACATCAGCTGCTTCAGCTTAGCAGTGTTGATGTGCAGCCATGGGACCAAGATGTTGTTTTTTTTCTAGCGTAATGTTGGCTTTTTACTTCTTGCAATAGCATAACAATTATTCAAGAGGTGTAAATAAGTGGAGATGATTCTGCTGAACAAAACAAGTAAGTATCATAAACGTTAATTTACCACATACAGTATCTTGTTTTCTGCAATTTTTGGAAATCCAATGGAAAAATCCCTATCCTTTTTGCTGAGGGATCCGTTGCAATTCAGATTACTTTATTGTCAATCAAATCTATGTGAAATGGAAATGTGTCTTTGGCACTGGCAAATAAAGCAACACTCACCATACACAGAACAACACACAATTTATACACACACAAATAGGGAAATTACCTGTTAAAGTGACAAAGTGGCATGTCTTAATACAATTACTGAGGGTTTTGTTTTTGGAATGGCTTGTGTCCATTCAAATATCAGTTGTATTTAAAATAAATCATTTACTATACAGTACATTCAGATTAGATGATGGTGTTGGTGTCAGAATGTCCTAAGAAGGATCCTTGAGGCTTGGAAAGGGGGCTTACGTTTGAGTCAAGGTGTGTGTATGTGTGTGTGTGTTGGAGGGGATACTTGTTTAAACAGACTGTTATTTAGGAGAGTCACAGCCGATGGAATAAAGGACTTCTAATAGTCTTTTTTCTGGCCATGCTAACATCAAGGTTGGCTTGAATAAATACTTCATCACGGCACCACTTCTAAACTGGTTTTACTTCTAGGAACACACTCTAATATCATTTCTCAAGAAGTAATGTGGGTTAAGACTGTCCTAAAATATACATTATGGACTTGCATTTAAATAAAAGTTTGCATTTTCTACAACAATTTGATAACTAATCAGTCCTTTTATCCCATGTCTTCTTCTTTTTTACAGGCTCCATGTTCAGTGCAGTTGTGCTGGTGCTTGTCTGCCTGATGCAGATGAAGCTAGTGACCACAGAGGGGCATCGTGGGACCAACCGCCACGTCTTCTATGCGGTGCAAATGGACAGAGGCATCAGAGCCGCCAGAGCTTTGGCTGAGCGGCACACACTGGAGTTCATACAGCAGGTCAGTGCATGTTTAAAAGCCCCTTGTTGTTGCCTCCGCATATATAGGCCTGGATCTTACATTTCCCTGTTACTGAGTTTTTTTTTCAAGAGCTGCCAAAGTGCTGACTTCTGTTTCCTATTTGAGGGATATCTGACTTTCATCAAATTACAGCAGCCTTTCTGAATATTTCATATCTGATCAAAGGCACTAGAGTCTACACACAGTGACACACATATAAAGACACATACATGCACATACACACTCCTATCTAACCAGTTCACGCCTGTGAGAAACTCCAATATGTGGAATAGGCTCCAGTTGAATGTCTTCAGAGATGATTGGGTCTTTACCTATTTGCCTGAGTTTTAATCTGTCATAGTGAAATCTTTCCATTTGTCAGAAGACTACATGTGATTTATCCACATCAATACTTTAAAGGTTACTTTGGTTGTTGAGTCTGAAATTGTGTCAGCTCCCTTAAAAAAAGAAATTCTCTACTGCAGTAAAATAATGAATAAAAGGCTCTGAGCGGGTCTTGGATAGCTGGAATACTGTATTTCTTTTGTAAGGGCGAGTTCAAAGAGGCTGTTCAAGGGCATAACATATTTTGAAAGGAACTTCTTCTGACTGTCTGAAAATCCCACATTACGTCACACCGACAGTCTCCAAGAGTCCCCTTCAAATAATTTAGTATCACTTAAGCATGTTTAAAAGAATGAACTTTGGCAGCAGGTGCTTGTTCCTCCATCAATAAAAGAACAGTCTGATTGGAGTTATTGATGAGTCATACTGAAAGAGTGTGTGTATGCGTTTTGGCATTATTGATAAGAGTTAGGGGAGTAGGGGACCGTGTCTGCTGGCCCGGTGTGAGGCCGTGTGCAGCGCTGGCCCTGGGGAACGGGGACGCAAGCTCATTTCAACCTTGGCCCCTCTGCTGCTGCTGCTGCTGCTGCCTGGATCATGAATAAAACATCTCTCTGACCTTTATCAGGAGTGTATTGGACAGTCCACCCCCGTCTCTGTCTTCCTCTCTGCATGTCTCTCTCTCATTGTCCCTCATGTATGCACACAAACACCTCTGCTTCTCCCTGCATTTCTTTCTGCTCTTACACCACTGATAGTCCCTCCATGCAATGGCCACTTGGAATTACAAAAACAAAATGAAAAACGTTGCAGTATAAAAACATATATGCACTAACTTTATTTGTGTTAGTAGGTTGGTAAATCACAAGTTTTGTCTGCAATATAAGACAACATCATATGACACATTAACACAACCAGTTACATTTAATCAAACTTACAAAAAGCAGCCCTTAATATGAAAATTGTATTAATGAGCCCTTCAATGCATTTTGATCAAAAAGTATAAAACTGGCCTGTTGTTTACTATAAAGTGCCCTATTCTTATATGTATTCAATGTTTGTAAGGGAGGAGGATGTTTCCATGGTTATTTAAAAAATAAAAGCACATCTCAAAGATGATATGGACCGTTTTATCTCATTGTATCGATGACTTTAGTTTGTTCATCATTAAGTCGATACTGGATCCTTACATGTATCAATGTGCTGTTGGTTTATATTGTGATGATATGCCTTGTTTAGGCACTGTTTGAATGTTTAGGAACCGATTGAAAGAGTGACACAAACGATCCATGGGCTTTTCAAAAATAAAAGCGTATCTACAAGATAATGATATGTTATGTTTTTCCAATGTATGATCATTTAAAAGGAATCCACATCTAAATATCGTCACTTGATCCATGCCAATGTATCGTTGCACCCCCATCGTTGGTTTGTATTGTGGTTTTTCTTGTGTAAAATGAAGCTATATTCGAGTAGTGTCGTGGAAATCAGTGCCTATGCAATGTTTAGATATTTAGGAAGGAGAACATCATTTCATCTAAGGGATGATGATCGGGTTGTTTCGTTGCATCGATGATAATAGTGCATTTTTGATCATGAAACCGTACCACATCTAGTATCGTTACACCCCTTTTTGTCAGACTATAATGTGATTTCACATTTGTGAAATTGTACTGAAATCATGTTGTGTAGAAACCAGTGAAAATATGCTGTGCTGGGATTCTGTAGTAATCCATTGTCAAGGATATGCAGTAAGCATGTTGTATGTTAATAAGGTGTCCAACCCAGCACCTCCATATCCTGAGCAACCCCCACTCTCACGATCCCCCCAGGTCCAATCTGCTGACTACCATCTTCTACCTGTCTGTCGCCAGAGGCTGATGCTAAATGTCACTGACACTAACTCGCCTTTGTTAAGTCAAGCCCATTGTAAATATCCTAATATCAAGAAGAATCAGACGCTTCACAATTTGCTGTAATAAGCGTATATATATATATTTCTAAAACATTGAAGTGGAATGAAAAGTCTGACAAGCAGCCCCTGCGCCGGCTCGGGGAGCATTGTGATGTCTGCTGGCATTCCAGTGGTAATGCCGCATGAGTGGAATGGGAATCAAATGTCTCCATGCTGGCACTCAACATATTGTTGGTCTCTTTGATTTAGTGTACAGCATCCAGGAAAATGTCATCTCGTCTCTCCATTGTGCAGGCTTGACATATCCATTTTGCAACTGTGAAACACAAAGAAAAACAAAGCCCTGCGATGATGTCTTTATGCCACACGGACAGATTTACTGTGATGCATTGCAGTTGCTATTTTGCAGGTGCACTGAAGCGTTTCCTGTCAGTCTTTATGATTTTTTAAATGTGTCGGGGAGATGGAGTTTATCTATCTACGTTTATCTTTCACTTGTCTTACACCTTGCTCATTTAGAAATGTTTAAAGATGGCTTATAGATTCCTTTTTGGAGGGTAAATCGGCTCATTCTCAATGATGCAGTGAAATGCAGAAACATTCAATAAAGAGACAAACAATGCAGTGCACCCAGGATCCCTCGCTTGTAATTATGTGTCAGTATACTGACGTGGATTCAAAGATTACTGTTACACAATGGTGAGTCTCATCTCCAAAACAAGGACGTGGTGGTTTAATGCAATCATTATGAGCCCGGGAGAAAGAGACGCTTTGACTAGGCAGGTAATGGCAGCCATTACAGGTGCAGGGTTTCTCACACAATGACAAAGGAAAAAGGAACCTGATCGTGATCTCAAATAGATGATTGTCTGATGCACAGAACAACAGCACAGTGACTTGATATTACACGCTGATTAAAATACAAAATAAATTAAAAAGTATCATCTTAGCTTCCAGGCTTACTTACAATCCAGCCGAGCCCAGTTTGAAGTAACATCACATGACTTCGCATTGTATACAGGTATTATTTCTTGCTTACTTAAGACTTTGCAAATCGGATTAGAGCCAGATTAGGTCTGCGTGTCGCATTGTTTTTATTTTAGCTGAGATGACTGCTTCAAGAATTAAGTATGTGTGTGTGCATGTGTGTGTCTGCGTGATTCTGTCTTGAACTCTGACACCAGGAAGTCCCCGGTCTCCAACCAATGGTGAAAGGCCTCCCAGATTCCCCTTCTCTCCGTTGAGGTGGAATACTGGCGGAAGATTAGCATATCATTAGCATACCATTAGCATAACATTACAGCGGCACAGCTTGGCTCGCTGTCTGCAGACGTGCTATCAGCTCATCGAGAGATTCAATCCTCAATCCCCTCCATGCTCCCCCCCCCCCCGCCACCTTCCTCCCGCCCCCCCTCTGTACTCACACGGTGTGTTTTCCATCTGAGTAAAGCAGATGTAATTGAGGCAGAGCACTGGATTTAGCGGCTAAATGAAATCACACAAACGCCTCGCGATCATTCGTGCACATTCAGAGACTTCCTTCTCTGGAACCTTGTAGCGCTGCACCCAATTCACAATTTCTAATATCCTCTCAGAAACAGCCTCAGTCAGAAGCTAAGCTATGTGGAAGCCTTACTCTGGCTGGATTACTCCAGGCTGTGATGTTCTGGCCAGGTGTTCTGGCGAAAGGAAAAAAGGCCAACGTGGCACCATCTTCTCCCTCGCCCCCTTTCACTCCCTTTTCCTGTAGCATAGGGCACCCAGGGCCGCGGAAACGGACACCAATCGTCTAATGGTTGGAAGAGAGGGCCCATTCCATTAGTCAGGGGGCCCAGAGTTCACCGCTGCTCCTCGGCACAGGGAGGGCGGAGAGAGCGAAATGGAGGCAGGTGTTGGCCGGGGGCAACGCAGAGGGCAATACTGTACCAGCTGCATGCTGGGAAATGAATCACCCCCCCCCCCCCCATGTACACTCCTTCACTGCCCATTTCTATTTCCTCATGCAAGTACAGATGCTGGCACCATGCTCACACACACTGTCTGACTTCCTCTCACCTGCTTTTGTCCCCAATTTTAATTCATTCCAGTAAGCTTTTCTCCATTTTCCTTATCTCTTTCTCTCTCCCTCTCATTCACTCACGGCTATCTCCATCTCTTTCATTTTCTCTCCCTCTCGTTGCCCCCCCCTCCCCTCATTCAATCCTCGCTCATGCCTCACTCTCATTTGTAAATGGAGAGTGGACTTGTCTGAGGAATATGTGCAGAAGATGTGGTTTCCCTCCCAGGTGGGAAACTCTGGAGGGAGATGAAGGTAGAGAAGAAGAAGAAGGAGAAGACGGGGTGAGGAGGAGGAGGAGGAGGAGGAGGAGGAGGAGGAGGAGGAGGAGAGCAGAAATTATGCTACCACTCCCTCTCCTTCCCTCTCCTCTCCCTCCCTGGGCTGAGATGATGTATGGCTGCAAAGGCCACATGTTGGCCGTGTGATGGATTAAAGCACTTTGTAGGAAAATTACTGAGAGCGCCTCAGCACACCCGAGTCTAGCCCTTAATAAAACTCTCTTCAATATTGAAATGTAGAGAGAGATAGGGAAAGAGGGGGAGATAAAGAAGATAAAGGAACATGGTGGACGAGACTTGCAATGGGAGAAGCACACATACACGCTCGTACACAGTATGGAATATTGAGAAATGTTGTAAAATAATATGTTGTGCAGTACAGCTTTACTGCTGGATTTAAGTT